ATATCATCCAGATTCAATAATTATTAAAACACAGCCAATCTTAATTTTATCTATACACCTCATCCCCTCCCCCAACCCTTCAGATTATTTGGAATGCAATCTCCAGAAATCATATTGTTTCATCTGTAACTATTTTAGTATATATCTATATGCTTCGGTGTATATCACTAAAAGATAAGGACTATTTTAAGCAAAATCACAGTACCATTATCACCTAAGAAATTACCAGAAATTCCTCGAATATTCAATCAGGGTTCAAATTTCCCTGATTAATTTATGGACAGGTTTTTACGTTTGTTTGAATCAGGATCCAAACAAAATCCAACATCATCATTGATAAGTCTCTAAAAGTCCTCTGTGCCCTTTTTTCTTCTTTTTAATTGTTGAAGGAATTAGGTCATTTGTCCTGTAGAGTTTCCCAGTTGGGATATTGCTAAGTATATCTCTGAGGTATCATTTAGCACGTTGTCTGTTCCCCATAATTCCTATAAATTGATAAATCTAGAGCTGAATGGTCTAACAGAAATAAAATGTGAGCCATCTATGTCATTTTAAATATCTAGTAACCATAGAGGTGGGAAAGAGGGAGAAGGGTGGAAGGATAGCAAGAAATTGGTTAATGGACACAAAACAGCTAGTTAGGAAAAGTAAGCACTATTGATGTCCGTGAGTTAGGCATCTATAATGAAAATTAATTTACTGCATGTTATCAAGTGGCTAGAAAAGAGGAGATCAAATATCCTCAACACAAAGAAATGATTATATTTTGTAATGATAAACATGCTAATTATCCTGATTTGATCATCATACATTGTACACAGGTATTGATATTCAAATCCATACCCGACAAATATGTATAATCAATTACGTTTTGATAAAATAAAGTTAACCAAAAAATAAATTTCCAGTAACCACTTTTAACAAAGTCAAAAGAAACAGATGAAATTAATTTTAATAACATTTTAATTAATGAGGCATATACACAGTATTATTTCGAATGTTTGTTATAAAAATTATTAGATATCATATTATTTTTTCTTACTATGTCTTCAAAATTCAGTGTGTATTTTACACTTACTGCATATCTTAATTTGGACTTGTCACATTTCAAGTGCTCAGTAGCTACATGAAACTAATGCCTACTGAACTAACAGTGCAGATCTAAAGGCCTCATCAGATTCAGGTTCAATATTTTGGGTAAGAACATTTCCATAATGCCTGGTTGTCTCTCTTTTTGGGATGTTGGCAGTCATTGATGATCATTGCCTAGATATATTCATTAGATACTGCAAAAAGTGATATTTGAATTTTTATTCCCTCTCATTTAATTGCTGATTATTTATATGAAGAGAATCTTCCACTCATCAATTGTTTGGTTATACTGAAGTACGGCTCATATAGGAAAAGCTATGATGAGTGCCTGATTCTTTCCCTATATTTAATTTTCAAACTAATAGGCCAGTTCTCTAGCATCCTCTAAAGGTAACCAATGAGTTGTTTTCTTTTTAGTTTATCTGCGATTTGAAATGTTCCAATCCCTTGCAATTTTTATTCTTATTTATACTTAAATTGTCCTGTTTTTACTAAGTGGAAGCCTCATCACGTTATCTCCTGAATGTCTTTGACATTATCCTAACAGTCTTCGGTAGTTTCCTTTCTTTCTGAAATAATGAATTCTTCCAGGTTCATTGTGTGCATTTGCTGCCCAGACCTGATACTGGCCATTGTTCCAAGGAACTCTGGTTCCTTTTGGCAGTAAATATATTTAGAGCCTTTGATCTGGGCACTAGGAGTGTTTATTGCAACCTGTTTTGTTGTTATTTTTTTAAGATAAAATAAATCAAGAGTTCCCATCAGTACTTCCAATTCAAGTACAGGATTGCAAGGTTCTTAAAATCATTGATCATGTGCCTGTTCTTTTTTCTCACACCAAAAATCTCAGTTCCCAAAGAATTTTCAGCACCAACATAGCTACTTACTTATTTTATCCTATGATACACATCACCACTACCACCAATATGATTACTGAGAATGGTTTTCAGTAAGATATTTTTAAAATTTTTCTTGTCCTTAGGGTAAACCCTATTAGGGATGTTCCGTCAATACCCTTGATGCAGTGTTCTAATACCACTTGATGTAGTTCTTCTCTGCATGGTTATGCCACCAACTAGATAATAGTTAGATTTGTTTCATTTCATTTCCAATTTTTAGGGATTGCTCTTTTGTTCTGTAACTATATAAAATTTTAAATGGTTTAGTAGCAAATCTATAAAACAAAGTAAGCAGGTATAATCAGGTAAGTGTAGCTTCTCTTCCTCTCCTTTTTTCCCTCTTCCTCTCCTTTTTTCCCTCTCCCCCCACCTTGGGTACTTTTTTTTAAAGTTTTTGATTTATGCTCAGGAAACTTTGACACCTTAGTTATTTATTCATTTAATGACTATTTAAGTGCCTAGTACAGTCCCTACACTCCGTTAGATACTCAGATGCATAAAAGTTGCATGGAACGTAATCCTTACTTTTGGCAGCATATTGTCTAAGGGAAGGTTCTTATATGTAAGTATAGACCATAACTTTCTATAGAAGGCTGGTATCAAATTGCACAGTTTTTTTTTTTTTTTAGTCAGGCTAACGAATTCACATTTTACCTCTGTGTCATGAGTATTGATGTTTTTTTTAGTCTAGGGAAGGGCATATTTAAAATAGTTCTTTAGAAGAACGAATCAATCCCATGTTAGGTATGGACTGAAGTAAAATGAGATAGACTGTAGGCATGTCATAGTAGGCACTCCATAAGTATTTGTTGAATGAATAAGTGTAATAATAAGACCGCCGCATTGGGAATGAAATGGAAAGTTTCAAGACAACCTGAAGGAACAATCTATAGAACTCTGAAATTTTAAATGGCAGGGAATAAGAAGAATTGAAGGTAGAGGATCCAGCATAGTATCTGGTGAATCGAATTCCCACTATCATTCAATACATTTAGTAGGAAGAAGAAGAGCTTAGTTTTATCAGGTTGAGAATTAAGAGCTAGGAAGAAAGGTTAGCCATCCCTCTACAATAATAGTTAGTTGAAGCCAGATAAGAAACAATCTTGAAGGGAGATAAAGTAAAAATATGAAGACAAATGTCACAAATCTTAAGAAAGCCCACACTTGGGAGCACGGAGAGAAAAATGAGCCAGCTATAAAGAGGAGTAGGAATCAAAGAGATAAGCAAAACATCTAAGAAAGTAAAATATTCCTTAAGCTAAGGAAGTTTTTCAGAGGAGTGATAACCCTTTGTCACAATGCTACAGAAATGACAATTAAGTGTCACCATAGGCCTGTATTTACCAAGCCACATATCCCCTACTCATACCTGCTCTCTTGTTTGCAAATCTGCTCTTCTATAAGAGATATTCAGCATCATTATTTTCTGGTCTTCAAGGAAAATGTTTATAATATCTACAGTGCCACAGTGCTAGCAGCACCTAGATCTGCCACAACTAAATATTTTGTGACCTCATAACTATTCTTAAGATAATGGCATAATTGGGTTGGGATTATTCATGTGATTTATAAAAGTAAAAAGTAATTTTCCCAGGGCCTTGTAAAATCTAAGTGTAATCACAGAAGAGTTAGGTTTCTGTATCTGTTGTAGCATCAGCATCAAAAGCTTTTTAAGTGTGTGTCTTAGCTGTAAACTTCTGGTATGGGATAGACATGCTAATAGACCAGCTTTTTATTCCTAAATTGATGTTTTTTTCCTTCAAATCACCTTCCTCTAGACAGCAGGTGCATTAATGGTTGTGCAACTTTGGGGAGTCCCTTTAGGGAATTTCCTGTTTTTCCCTTTTACATTTCACACCCCTTCCTTGCTCCTGCCGCTACCATCTGCTATCTTTTTTCTCCTGTTCAGCTCTGGCTTCTTCACACCCCACTCCCACGCCCTTTTCCATTTCTCTCCGTCTGTCCAAGAGCCCTCTACTTGGATTGCTCTGATGCTTGCACATGGATCAGAGAACTTTCTCTTCATCAATCAACTCGCTAAGCTCAAAGGAGATACAAAATTTACATGGCCTTCAACCAAGGCTGCTGTGAACTTGATAAACATAAGTGGGCACAAGACAACATCAGTGCTGATTAGGGGAGCATATATTAAACGGGTCTCAAATGTTTCAGTAACAACTTGCAGAGTTCTACATACCTGGGCATGGGCTTCATGCATGTATTAAGGTAAATATCTTTATCATGGTATGAATTAAGTTTAGGTACTCTGGCATTTTTGCAACCATTGGAGATAATATACACATCTACAAGTTAAATTACAAATTAAAGCACAGTACTTGAATGCCATCAGCTGAGTGATATACTACCTAGCAATAAACTTACCATTGAAATTAATTTAGAAATCCAATACTAAAAGTCTAGATAGTATAGTAAAAAGGTTCTTGTCACAAAGTACCAAGGTACCTCATTGAACTTCTTTTAAATATGTGGAATATTTGCATAAATATAAAATTTTAAAATGGAATGTTGAACAAATGAAATGTGTGCCATTAGTATACCATTTGCATCATCTGGATATACTAGAACTCTTCACTTTTAAGGTTAACACGGTATGGGTCTGAGTTTCTGACTGTTTTAGTATCTGAATATTTGATTATTTTACCCATCTGGCTGTTTTTAGGTAATTTTAGAGGTAAATTAATGCTCTGAGAGTTTTAGAGGAAGCTCTTTTTGCACAAATTACTGGCATTTACTAGCTATTCAAAGTGAAAAGGCAGAACTTAGAAGTACCACCCCTTTCTGTTTTAAAATAGGAAACACAGAACTCTTTATTTGAAACATGTTAATTGAGCAATGATCAGTTCTCCCACCTCAGTGTCTCTTCATCAGTTCATACTGTGTATCTAGAGAAGACTGAGGTGAGAGATTTGGGATACAGACGTTGCTAGTATAGGTGTCTTTGTGTTATATAAATACACTTTGATTTTAAAATGCTGATATATGTTACAGGATATAGAAGCAGCAGAAAAGTCTCTGCAGACTAGGATTCACCCACTTCCACGGTCTGAAGTGGTTTCTCTTGAGGTGAGAATCTTAAGGAACGAATTAAAAAGGAGAGACCCTATCTTCTTACTAATGCATTATAAGTTAAACAATGGTTATATGTGTATATTTCCTAGATTTATTTATTCTGGAAATAAACAAGATGTGTTTGATTGATCCTTATATGTCCATAGTACTGTGCTTTATACATAAGAGGTAATTGAGAAGTACCTTGATTAAAAACATTTTTTATCAAATGGAAATTTTATAAAGATCTTATGTCTTCTCACCTTGTCACTTAGAAACAACTATCCAGTTAAATGATAACAGACAATATTTATGAAATCTTAAGATGACAGCATGCCTTATCAAAGTGCTTTTCCTGTTGGCTGACGTTAGAAGTAGCAGTTCAGTCCTATTACCAAAAATTTAACCAAAACTATCTAAATGCATGTTATCATACGATAAACTGTGGCTTTTGACTTTTATTTTGTTCAGTTCAAGAACAGACTGGGAAGATGGTTGGCAAAAATAAACCATATTTGGTATATGAATGTGTTTGTGATGAATGGAAGTTTTGTTATATATATATATTTTTTTTTATAATTTTATACTTTATAATGATCTTTTTCAAATACAATTTTGCATTCCACCTAACTGGAGATATGAATAGACTCAAAATTAATGGCGGAGGATTTGCCCCTCAATTTTCTGTGTCATTCAGGGTAATAAGAAAAGGCAGAGATCAAGGATAAAAACAATTCTGGAAAAAGTTGTGCCTTAGGCATGTCTTTTTCTTTGTTAAATTCTCCAATACTTTACTCTGGCAGCACAAACAGGGCCCACACAATAGGGGTTAGTCCAGCCGTGAATGATGGAGAAACTCCCAACCACAGGCCTCAGATGGTATTTTTCTTAGCTAGTCTTGCACAGCAGGATGACCTTTATTTTAACTATGTCAGGCTGTTTCTCAGACCACATGCATAGATGTACAGATAGTTAGGATCCCTCACCATTTTCAGCTTCGAGAACTGCTGTACCTTTTTAATGCTAAGAGTGAATAATTATGTGTTCCTAATGCTATCTAATTCATTGGCTGAATTTCCCAAAATGAGATTGACAGTGATAATCTAAAAAAAGAAAGCCCTCCTAAGATACAGGGCTTTTGGCGGTTTAGTTCTCTTTGGCCTGCATTAGGGCGGTCACCCAACAAATCATGAAAGCTCCTAGGTACAGCGTGGTGACGTTACACAAGATCACTACAGCCAGACCAATAATACAGCATCTCAACTTCTAAGCTACTTGTGTTAAAAATGGTTAAATTATATTGATATTATTTTCTCATCATAAAAAGAAATTGGGAGAAAATTACAATTTGTCACATCAAGTGTTCTTTTAAAAGATATAGTGAATACATATTTCCCACACAATTAGGAGGCCGATTCATCTCAGTTCTATACTATAACATATTTATACTAGTTATATTTCAGCTTCTGATTTCATCCCAGGTCAGATCTTTTGACAGTAATTCTGAATCATTTGTTCATGTTTATTAATCATGTCATTGTAATTCACTGTGGGTTATCATTTGGTATAGGACTTGGAACATTAAACAAAAACATTAATGACTATATAGCCATATGATACCACTGGCAATAATCACAAGGTTGGCCACAAGAGGGCGTGTAAAATCACAATAAAATTCTAAAACCTGTAATTCTGCCAGGCTCTGGTTTTACTGAGAAATTTGTAAATTAACACTAGTAAGTAGCCAGATTTTTTCTAAAATTAACATAAAATATTCTATAGAGGAAATGCATTCTACGTATACGTGTGTGTGTGTGTGTGTGTGTGTGTGCACGCACACACACACTTAAGTGAATAAACATTTAGATTATTATGAAGAGCCAAGTTCAATTGCTTGATATGCTTTTTACTTTGGGATTTTATTTTTTTCCAGACTCATTACTGGGCATCAGTAGAAGAATATATTCCCAAATGGGAACAGTTTCTTCTAGGAAGAAAACCATATCCTATTTGTACTGAAAATCAAAATGAGGCAGAAAATACCATTCAAAATGAGGCACAGCGATAACTTCTTCACATGCTACTTCAAAAAACCTGTTTAATAATACTGAATAGTAAACTTAATAGTATGTAGGTAATTGCAGGAACTTTAGGAATTGAATATGTTCATATTGTTTCATTATCTCCTAAGTGACAATGAAGATATGAGAAGCTACTGGGAAGTTTCAGGTTATCACCTACTAATACTTCAAGGTTATGAGTTTGCTTTCTATCAAACCCATAGACATGTTAAAAACAAAGTATTAAAAAGTGAATTGTTTTAAATAAATTGAATCAGTATTGCGTGTGTTGTTTGAAAAATCATTTACAGTCATTCTCATTTAAACAATTCTGTTGGTTCTGATTTTAAGTTTTCTAGAATCTTTACTTTTCAACTATTCTATTATGGGGACAAGGTACAGAATCAAGGTAGTTGTTTGCTATTACAGCTTCTTTTAACAAATGAAAAGACAGTGACTCTTAGCTGCTTTAATCTAATAATACTTATCAGAAAATAGATTCATGGGATTTTGTGCCTCACAGATAATCAAACCTCTAAAAGTTGTGGGGATGGAAAGAACTAAACTATAAGTAGCTAGTTTCAGGAAGGCTCAGTCTTGGTTTAGAAAAAGGAGACCTGTTAGAGCTGGGAATGGTTATTGGATTTTGACTTGGTTATTTAAGGATTGCCAGTCCTGTGAATGCAAAAAAACCCTCTCTCATCTTTTTGTGTTTCAACTTGCTCTTCCCTCTCCCTTCTATTTTCATTATTTCTGAAAAAACTGCCAGTCAGAAAGCTTTGGGTCACAACCCTAAACAGCTTTGAGATTCCTCAGTCCACCACTGCTTGAGCACTAGAAAAAAACATATCATTTTTTATAGCGACAGCCTCTAGTAAAGGGTGTCTATGCTATGCTACAATTCAATGTTTTAAATTTCAAACTGTTTTTAAAAAGAAAACAACAGGACAAGCTGAAAACACACACACAAAACTATACTGAAACGTCCATTGTGCTGATAAGTTCCTTTAAACTACCATCTTGGAAATATCCTGTTGAGTGGGTGTTGGTGTGGGTAACAATAACGTTGTTTTCATAATATGTGCTGGCAGATTAGCACACTTCTCTACAGTGTTAACAGTTGTAATTAAGAAATAAACAGCACAGGGTGTCAGTCCGATGACAATTTCATCTATAGTGTCACAATACAAAATGTCACAAAATATTAGAACTGTTATATAACTATAAAAAGTATCAGCTTAAAAGCTGAAAGCCTTTTTAAAAAAGAAGACAGAAAGGAAGAAAAAAGAAAACTGGCATAGCAACCAGAACAATTTTATACCTTCTCAAGAATGTTCTGTCATGAAAATAAATTGATAATCTTTTTCCCTGTTATATTACAGTTTGGTTTCTAGCCATCCAGTTGATTTAGCAGGAGAATGCAGGATTTTTTAGCAGCTTTGAATTGGTAAACAGATTTAGATATAGTAGAAAGGAACATGAGGAAGTTTTTTTTTTTCTAACATCCAATCTTTCCCAGCATATGCACATAAGAAGGTGAATGAAGCAATGTGAAACTTATTTCTCTTTAGTCAAGTGAAAAAAAGGCTAAACATTTGTTAGATGGTAAAATATTGTGTCAAGCAAGTAGGCACATTCCAAAATTAAACAGTGGTTGATACGTTAACGTCCTCAAATATTTGAGCGTACACTTCCTTTGAGATCTGTAAATTAAATCACCAGTAGGTTAGATTAAAATACAAAATGAATGGCAATTTAACTATCTCAGAAAAGGTTCTGTTATTTTCTCCCCTAAATTGACTAACTTCCTAAATAGTTTAAAAAAAAAAAAAAGCATACGTTTAATACATGCTGGGTTATGATTTAGGGCAGAAGGGAAGGTATTTCTAAGCTTCAGCTGTACATTTTTCCCATTTTAGTTAATACCTCAAAAACTACCAGAGATGACTTTATTCCTGGCCCCTACAGAGCTACGCCCCCCCAACCCCCGCCTTGCAGACTGTAACAGATTGCACCACATGGTGTCTGTTTAAAAAAAAAATTCCCATAGGGACCTAGATATCCCATTAAGGGGCTTTATATTCCTCTTGGCAAATTAGCTTTATATAAGAATTTCCAAACATTGTTTTCTGTAAGGAAGGGAGGAATACCATATATAATGTATATTTTTTCTTCAATTAGTAGGAATCAGACAAGGGAAAAAAATGTCATCTACTCATACCTTTTCCCTTCTAAGTCAGTGTCCTTACGATAAGCTACATTGTAGCCACTATTCTCCATGAAAACTATAAACTTGCTTTTTTTTTTTTTTTTAGAATAATGGAGTTTTCAAAATAAAAGTCATTAAAATAATTTTTTCCAAAGCCTTTCTCCAATTATTGCAAATGTATAAATACTCCAAGCTCATTTTCTGCTGAAACACTTCTGGCATATGAAATTATTAAACTGTAAAATGCTAAAGTAAAGATCACAAGGAACTTCAGTTTTTCTCCAAACTTAAAAAAATAAATTTTAAGTAGTAAGGAAAAAGCCTAATACTCTTGAAACCTGACATCTGGTCTTTCTCATGCATAGAGAGCAATGTGAATGAAAGTGAAGTCAAATGGACAAGTTTCCCTCTGCATTATGCACAAGGTGTTTTAACTTGTCACCTTAAGAATTAGATGAGGACAGTAATCGAACTTTCTTTACAATTTTGGCTTCTCTGCATCATTCCTCTTTTTCCATCAAAAAAATAATTAAAGTGGATATGTGGACATATTTATTTTGAATCAAAATAAACTTGGGGATTATTTTGTCACTTTTGAGATAACGGGAGACACGCAGGTATGTGTGTGTGTGTGTGTGTGTGTGTGTGTGTGTGTGTGAGACAGAGAGAGAGACCCGGGTTTGCAATCACCAATTTCAAAGATATTAAGCTTTAAACCCACTATGAGATAGGTTTTAGTATGTAAAATTTAACATATAAGGCCACAAATTTGGCTTATCTACAAAATATATTCTTTCCCTTCCTTCCTTAATCTATTAAGTTGGCTTTTTACTCTGAGCCAATTTATATCCTTTCATTTTGTTTTTTAAACAAGAAAGTCTTTTATTTTAAACAAAGTTTTAAATTTTCCTAAGGAGTCCTTTTCAAGAATTGTCCAAATATAATAGCTACATGGTTTTAAAAACTCTTCATTTAAATAGTCACTTATTTTTTACTTCTTCCACTTTAATGAGGATACTGGGGTGTCTTTTTTTTTTTTTAAGTTGCTGACCAAAATCTACTCTTCAGAGAGTAGTCCCCCTGCCCTGCCACCCCTGTGTGTTTTTGTTTGTTTCTCTTATAATTTAGAAGTTAATTTGTCTACATAGGAAATTTAATTCCTCATTGCTAATAAAAGAGTGTTCAATGTTTTCTGGGACAAACATGGGATGTGTCAAATTTTAGCAATTAAGGAGAGGATTGATTTGTAGATTTGATACGTGGCATCATGATCTCCCTTTCTAACTGGAACTGAGATTATACCTTTACTAAAATCCAAGAAAAAGAAAATGACTCCAACAAAGCCAGAGGCTAAAAATATCTCTGGACATCATCTTACCTTGCAGAGTCTGCGAAAAAGGACCAGATCGCCTAATTAATGTTTTAAAGTTCTTGCTATTTTAAAAACTCAAATTCGTGTCTCAGATAAAGACAGAGACTGAGATTCTGATAATGTAGTATCTAGATGGGCTACAGTAAAAAGCACTAAATAGTTGCATTGAGAGGAAACAATGAAATGTTCTTATTTTAGAAAGTGATGACTTTGTTTCTTTCTTATGATAATTGGTCATTTAACCTCCACTGTTAAGGTCAAAGGATTTTTTATTACTCCTCCATGAGTCTATCAATGTAAAACTTTTTTTATTTTATATAATACTGCTTTGGGAACAATACAGTCTCTTATCTTCTTTCACCTCCTAATATCTCTTAATTATTTTTCACATCTTGTTTCCAGACATTTATAAGGTCTACAATACTTATACATTTTCCTTGTGTTAGAATGCTGTACAGCAGGAAAACAAATACTGAGATGTTCAAAAGAAGACAAATCTGGAGCCCTTTAAAATGATACTCAATAAATACAAAGGTGGATAGCATTTGAGCACCGTCATTCATTCTTTCATTCAACAGGTCTTATTGACTGCTTATGGTGTGGCAGGCACAGTTCTAAGCACCAAGAATACAGCAGCGAACAAAACAAAACAATCCATGTCCTCAAGGAATTTACATTCTGGCAGAGGAAGCAGGTGGAGGGGTTGAAAATAGAAATAAATAACAAAAAAGTAATAGATGGTTATTATATGGTTAAAAGGGATAACATAGTATGAACATCAAAAATGCCTTCTCAATGCAAGAAAACAAAGCAGACTTCATAATTTCTCAGGTAATATAACTAGAACAGAGAGTCTTTTTTCCTATTCAAAGATCTTGAGTTGGAGTTTTCTGGTGAAGCAACATTTCCACTGCTTATTAATTTGGAAATTCTGTAAACTTAATGAATAGTTTTATGATGAATGCAAAAACAAAATCCTCACTACTTCAATAGATGTTTGTACACCAATGTTTATAGCAGCATTATTCACAATAGTCAAAAGGTAAAAACAACCCAAATGTCGACTGAAGGATGAATGGATAAAATGGTACATAGATATGATGAAATAGTATTCAGCCTTAAAAACTTAGAAAGGAAATTCTGATGCATGCTACAACATGAATGAACCTTGAAGACATAACGCTAAGT